ATTGGTGACAGATTCCTTTTGTTAAACGATATACTGAAGCAACAAATAAGTTGTACAAACCAACATGACAAAAGTTTGTTTCCTAACAAATTAAAGTTGCTAATGGATGTGCACAATCGTTTACTAGAGTTGGCAAAGTGATTAACTCGTCCTACTCTATTTTACTGTTTGTATACGTTTTATTAACTTGCTCGGTAATTACAACTCATCTGTACGTCATGACGTACCTTCACTTGAGTACTGGCCGAACTGGTGACAATTTCTTTGGATATATGATTGTCATCCTGCCATCAGCTGTCATTGCCATATTACAGCTGTATAATACAACATTCTGCACTGCGTTTATGTGCCATAGTGTACGTTGTCGTTTTTGGTTGCAGCGCATTAGTTTCTGATATGATAATCAATAGTACTCGGAGATATAGGTATTACCGCAAGTAGTCTATTTCTTAGTGACAGACGACTTGGAAAGTTCCCCATCCACATACCTCACCCCCGTCTAGCAGAAATATCTACCACGCGTGGTTTCATTTGTAGCAATGTGTTCGTATCAGTTGCTAAAGTGCTGCCTTGCCTTAGTAGGATTTTTTGAATAACGCAATATGTTACAGGCGAATTCGACTGTAAGGATCATTTGTGGAATAAAAATTGCGACAGAAAAAACAGATTATTCAATTTTGGTAAAGATATAAAAAAACACCCTTTCTTATATCCGCGTTTCTTAATTTCAGTTAAAAAAGACGATTCTACAACTAATGCATCATACACTAAGTATAAACGCCTGTAAAATCTTCACAATAGATTTTAGGATGTTTTACAGTGTAAGTTCACTTGAAAAAATTGTCAGGTGTAACTTTACTAAAAGATGATTTTAGATTGCTGCGACGGTAGTAAATTACTTAGTATTTATGCTCCAGTTTGACCTCATGGCTGACAAGTTTAACGATTTGAAAGGAGCATCCTTAAATACTACTGACAGTACTTTGGAATCTCCTCTGGTCTAAACAGTAAATACTGTCGGTGGGGTAAAAGATAATTTTGTAATTGTTTTTTTAGATTCAATGTAGCATACTTGACATGGCAAACGAGAAATGGTTGTTCTACAGTCTGTTTCAAATTAAGTCGCTTAAATTACCAAAATTGTGTATTCTTTTCTACTGAATCCAAAATCCAAAAAACACTACTCTACAGCTAAGAAAATTAGCAATAGTGCTGACTTAATTTGAAACAGACTGTATATCACAAAAAGTAGCACAGATGTAATTTACATACCTATGTGAAAGTAGTACCTAGATGTGCACGATGAAACACTAAAGAAGCATTTCCTGTTTAATCTCTTCGTACATAAAATTACTTGGCTAAATTAAACTTCCTTTCAGTCTGTTCTACAGGGTGACACTTTTAAAACTTTCAACGGGCGATATCGTTTTTTATATTAGAGGTATCACTAAATGCCCAAAACCGTTTCGGTAGAATCGAGGGGGAAGCAAAATGGTCGTATAAAGAAGGAACCAACTTCAACCTCGTACCGCCCGCCACCCCCATGCCTAAATTTTGAATTGTGACGTATCACTTGTGATACATCATTGGAAAGCTCTTAAAAAATGCTTTTCAGAAAAACCACACTGGTACATTTAAACTGCCCATTCACAATTTATTAGGTACACTAAAATTTGAACTCCGCAAATAAACAACTTTTATTTAATAAAATGTTCAAAATGTTCACCTTTTGTTCTAAACAATACCACAAACGTTTTCAAATTCATTTCTAACATTTTTAAACACTTCCCTGGAAAGTGAACGGCACTCCCTGACTATCCGGTAGCGAAGATCATTTATGGAAGCTGGTTCAGTTTTGTACACAACCGATTTTAAATGACCCCAAAGAAAGAAATCCAATGGTGTCAGATCTGGAGATCGTGCTGGCCATTCTATAGGACCTCTTCGTCCTATCCACTGTCCCGGAAATTTCTCATCTAAAAATTCATGAACAGCCATAGAGTAATGAGGAGGAGCCCCATCTTGTTGAAAATGTATGAAATCTTCAATCAAATTCATGTTTCCGTCAATTGGATTTATTTGATTCTCTATTTCATGAGTGATGAGAGGCTCGACGGTATTTTGTAGCATGTTTAGGTAAGTATCTCCAGTTAAATTTCCTTCGATAAACAGAGGACCAATAATGCTATCACCTAAGATACCTGCCCAGACGTTAATTTTTTGGGGCCGTTGAGTATGCCCCTCGCGAAAAAGATGAGGATTTTTATCGTCCCAATACCGGCAGTTATGTTTGTTCACATTTCCATTTAAAAAGAATGTACATTCATCACTAAAACAAATGTTTTTCACCAGTTCCGGATTATTTTGAATATTCTCGGTCATTATTTCACAAAATTGGATTCTTCGATCGGAGTCGTTTTCGGTTAGTTCCTGTACAATCTGCATCTTATAAGGGTAGAATTTGTGCACCTTAAGAGTTCGTCGTACAGTTTCGCGAGAAAGTCCGGTCATAGTTGCTGCTTCAATCTGAGTAGCTTCATCCATTATTCTTGGTCCGTCTCTTTTCTTATTTTCCACTGACCCAGTTTCTTCAAATTTAGTCACTAACATTGCAACATAAGTGTGACTGACACGTCGTTCTGGGAAACAGCTGCTGTTCTAAATGCAGATCGCGCTTCAGAACCATAGATGAAAATAATTTCAACTCTTTCGGCTAACGTGTACACCATTATGAAATCTTTAGTTAAATTCAAAATTTGTAATTTTCTTGCCAAAAAATACTAAAAACGAGACTAAAATAATAACCGATCAACAAATAAAACAATAGAAAATTATTATTTACTAAAAATTGCTGTCATTGTTTTTCCAAAGCATCACTAGATCTAAGAAATTTTTTTTTATTTCAAACACTGACAAATTCATCAAATACTCAAATTACTCATTTTTATTACATAAATTGTGAATGGGCAGTTTAAATGCACCAGTGTATGGTATTTCTGAAAAGCATTTTTTAAGAGCTTTCCAATGATGTATCACAAGTGATACGTCACAATTCAAAATTTAGGCATGGGGGTGGCGGGGGGTACGAGGTTGAAGTTGGTTCCTTCTTTATACGACCATTTTGCTTCCCCCTCGATTCTACCGAAACGGTTTTGGCCATTTTGTGATACCTCTAATATAAAAAACGATATCGCCCATTGAAAGTTTTAAAAGTGTCACCCTGTATATTTACTGCGGAAGCTGTGGCAATTGATAGAGCGCTACATTGGTTGGAGGATAATAATATACAAGAAGCAGTGATTGTATCAGACTCAAAATCAGTTTTAGAGGGTTTAAAAAATATTACGGAAAATCCAAAAAGATGTAGTCTATTATGTGATATAAAAAACAAAGCAGCAAGTAAAGATATCACATTTATTTGGACCAAAAGTCATACAGGTATACGGGGCAATGAGATGGTCGACCGTCTTGCAAAAGATTCCATTAGAACTGGAAAAACTGAAAACATTTCAACAGCATCTGATTTAATTAGGTGGCATCAGGCAAGCATTCAGGACAAGTGGCAACAGAAATGGGTGGAAAATTCCCATAGTTCTTATAACCAATACTTCCTCCTTCATCCTTCCTTACCAAAAGACATCCCACATATATTCACCTTCAACTTCTCCAAAAAGTCAGCTGCTACTATATCACGCTTAAAATGTAACCACGGTAGATTCCCAGCTCACCTCGCGAAGCTGCACATTATTCCATCTGCTGTGTGTTCATGCGATAATGCTTCTATATGCGACATGAATCATATCTTCTTTAAAGTGCTCAAAAAATAATGATGAAATTGAACTACTTTACAATGGATTATTGCTTAATAACGTTCAATTACCGGTTAATGTTGCTCACTTACTTTCCCTTAACCAAAAAATAATATTGAGTTACTATGCAACTTCTTGTACAAAGTTGACCAGCTTATATAATCAACTTAAACTTATATAAATAATACAATATATATAATTATATAATAATAATTATATAAACTTATATAATTTTGTGGCAAATGGATAACCTTCCATGCCATAAAAAAAAAGTCGACGTTTTTATATGCATCATTCATCCAACATGATTAACAAGATCATAAACGTACAACAATCAATTCTTCCATAACTACCAAATGCGTTTTACTATTGCTCTATACCAAAATTGCGGAATATTAAATTTCTGTGCAGCATTGACCATGACCATAATGGTACAATACTACTTTTTTTTCAATGTATGGGACTTAACGGTTTTCGAATAAAAACTAAAGTTTTGTTTGTAGTAGTGAAATAATTTTAGGAAAATCATACTCTCATCCAACATCCCGTCCTCAGAATAATCCGGTTTGTTGTTCAAACTAACATAGCATCTTCGGTCCAAAGCCGGTAATAATAAGTAATAAATAATAAATAATAAATAATAAATAATAAATAATAAATAATATATAATAAATAATAAATAATAAATAATAAATAATAAATAATAAATAATAAATAATAAATAATAAATAATAAATAATAAATAATAAATAATAAATAAACAAATCACACTGATTTGATCGTCGCGTTGGGTTTGTCTGGGATTTCGCGATCGTATGAAATAAACTCTAACCAAAAATATTTGTCCTAAACATAATGTGCACCTTTTTCAGTATATATTATGTAATTAATGCGTTATCAAAATATCTAATCTCTCCTTTAAGTTTTAAGATCTAGTTTTTCACTAATTTACCTCATAATTGAGGTATCCAATATCAGTCGGGGTACATAGTTAATAATTCAATGGCATAACCTCGATATTTGGGATCGGGTTTTTGTTTATGTACTTGTCTTTCTATATTGTAATCGAGGCCAGCAGCTATGTGCTATTGTGTCAAACGCGAAGCTGTGTCTTGACGCAACCAGCACATCTAAATGCATACGCCATTAGGCGACTAGGCCAAAGAATCCATGTAAAGGCTATTTCCATCATTGTAACGATTTATTCAAATTATAACCCTTATACGAGACTTCTATTATTACCTACAGTTAAATTCGTTCATCGGATATAGATTATTAGATACACCATCACATTTGCAAGGAGTTAATCAACTTCAATTCGTCGAAAAGAGCCTTCTAATCCGAACAACTCGTTTATAATCGGTGAATCTTTAGGTCGGTCCTTTTCGGAGGAGCAGTATTTTTGATCATTAATAAACCATTCGCTATAGCTCTCAAGTTTAACCTTTTGTTGCGCTAAAACACGTTAGCTTATAATAAGAGTAAACCAGGGTTACTATTTTTACCTATTAATTCGGACAGAGGTATGCCACCACCCCCATATTCCGGGGGTAATAAATTAGAAGGAAAATGTTGATACAGTTCATCACCGCCATTACCTTCATAAAAGAAAATCTAAAATCAAGGGAATTGATGAAATTATTAACGTGTAACGGTGTGACTAATGCTAAGGGACATCGCGGCCGCACATACTTACTTTAGACTGGTGCTTTTTGGAAAGCAATGGTATCCACAAAGATTTTAAAATTAAAGCAATTGATGACATATTAATTACATGGATCGCTTTAACTCTAATCGGATAAGCTTTGGTAACACATAAATAAATCTTCCGTAATAAATGCAGTGTCGTCTGCTTAACATGTTTGTAAGTAACACCCCGGGAGTCGATCAAGAGGCATAATCCACATATCGATATTTCCTCATATTCTTCGAGCAGGACATCCATAAACATGCAAGACAATTTGATTCGACTTTCAAACGACATTAGGTCTGGATCTACGTCAGTGGTCTGATAAATTGCACGTATAGGTTCACCAGTTACAACCGGTAACGGTACCACTGCGCTAAACGTAGCAAAATCGTATATTCATTGATGATTATTAAAAAACTAACCCAGCGTTTAGAGCGAGTTGAATTTCCGGTAAATATGGATCCCGCCTGTCAAAAATATCATCCGCAATAGTTCTCATGGTATAAAACAAATCCATCTTTTCCTTTGCCCTTTCGAGACTGAACTTAGACGCCCTTAAAAATTTTAATATCCACTGGTGTTCTACAATAGAATCGGTTATTTTGGAAAACTGTTTCTGTTAAGTACCTAAGCGGGCCTTTAGATGAGGTTGGGAATGAATCCAATTTATCATAGCGCGAATATCATCGCCCACACGATTTGGAGATTCATTTAATTCGGTTTCCGCTATTAACTGCATAGATTTAGGTAACGATCGAACTGCAACCTCCATGCTTTGTAAAACTACTTTTGATTTGCGTACACACACGAGGTATTATATCAATGCCAAGTAGTGCAATTTTCTATAATTATTGCAATCACTGTCCACTAATTAGGTAATATCGAGTAATATTATATTGATTTACCGTAAATTGCGTTGCTAAGGTTATGTCGTAGGTCACACGCTCTTTATACCAGCAGGTAATCTATTATGGGATACGCTTCTAATGCATTAGGTGCATTTCCATCAATTTCAATATACAGGGTGTTACATATAAAGCATGTAAAAAAATTGGGCGAATTGGGCACTGTTCCAAATAAACCGGGAGTCCCGTCACCGTCTACGTATTTTGTATTATACACTACCGCTGGATTATTTTTGTTATTACTGTCATTAAATTTCATTTTGTAATTATACCGTTTAATTTGTGTTCTTTTGTGAAGGAAAACCAAAGCCACGGTTGATGCACGACTTTCCGTCGCAGTATAACAAACAAAAAATCTGGATCTTTAATTGACACATACTTCAACAACAACCTGAGATTACAGAAATTTATTCTTATACAAAAGAAACACAAGTACAACCTCCTGTAATAAAGACTTTAAGGTGACGTAGCTAACGAGAAACAAGTACCATTTTTGATGTATTCAAAATTTGTTTAAATGTTAAGTGTTTAAAGTCAACCTTAGGTTATTTCTTTGTGCCGGGATGGTTAAAAAATTAAGAAGTTGTAATTGTGAACGCTAGCGCATTTTCGAGAATGACATTTTTCGGTTTTTTACTCATAACTTCGCTATTTGCGGAGCTACAATGAACTTTGAAAGGAAAAATTGATCAGTATATAATTCTGCTTTGTCCATTTAAGCAACTTTCTATCTCGGTTTACCAGACCCTCTAGTGAAAATGAAAAAAGCTTACACTCTATAAGACAATGTAATGGTGTATCGTTTTTTTTTTAAATAATTTCTTTTTACCTTCCCAACGAAGTAGAATTTGAATTTGACAGTGTAACTTAAAGGTTGAATTTAGTTGAGAGTGAATGTATTAAAATATGTAACAATAAATTAGCATCAGGTAAGCGACAATTACGACTCATGAAGTGGGGAATCTAAAGAAAGCATTCGCTCAGAAAAATTGCGTAATTTCAATGTTTACTTTTAAGAAAGTAAAAGTACAGAAAGGTAAGTTCCAAAAGTACTACGTACAATCAACATAATAAGACGAAGGAATTACAAGAAGAATTTACACATTGTGTGATATTGTGTGATCAAAACTCTCTAAACCTAAAAAAAAAAAAAAAGAATTTACACCACCAATGAGAGAATCTTTAACCCCTTCTAAGAAATCAGTACAAATTGACACCTCTTCTGCGGGGAAGAATTACCGAACCACCCAATATTTGTAACCATCCGTTTCAACTTGAAACTACTGTTTTTACCAAGATACTTTTTTTAGCTTGTTGTACTTGGTCATAATATGTATACACAATGCATGCGTCACCTTCTTCTAGGACTGTACTCTACCCATCTAAATCAGATTTGCCTGGACTGGATCTGCAACTGATTTTTTTTTATATTGGTTACTTGCAGGCCAAAATTCTTAAGGAAAACTCTGCAGCAAGTGGAAACAAATCACCTTCGTTTTCTGCGCATTTAAAAGAACTTGCAGCTCGTTCAGTTCTCACTGCAGATTTAAAACAACGTCTACTCTGGAGGCGCTATTTCTTTGTAAATGTAGGTATATAAACATATATTTTTGAAGTGACGAAGTGTAGGTACAGTTTTCCAATGATATGCAGAAAAAAATCAACTCGGGGTATGGTTTTGACGCAATAGTGATCTGTTGCATGTCGTTTGCTTTAGTCATAAGAAGACCTATAAACAGGTTATTACGGCAATTAGAGTGGGAGAAGGTTTGTATACTTTTTAGTCACAAATTAATGTCATTTTTTTTTATCACACATATCTTTTGAAGTAATATTTTAGTGATTTTGTAAACGTATTTCACTTGGAAATTGGCTGTCCAATTTAAGCTGATTAATTGAATTTGACATTATGTTTAAATCGTTAAGAGTAGGGACAGAACAAAAGTTAGTACCCTCAATTTATATGTAATTTGATGCTCTACAAAAATGGTAACCTCCTTTGCTCAATGGCATAATCTTCCTGTAAAAGAGTACAAAAAAATGCAGCTTTAAGATCTGCTTACATCTACCCATGAAAGGGCAACACCTTTTAAAATGTCCTTTTGGGCTAAATGGTCACTGTTTCAGTCATAACAGAGTGGTCTATGAATAGGCATAATTAAATATTCTGATGTAGACGGCTACGACAATAAAAGAGTGAAGGGGGTGAAGGAATCGTGTCTTTTTGCATATTCTTTTAGTCAAAAATGTTCCCTTTTGGTTGCACAGGGAGAAACAAGTACCGTTTTTGGTGTACACCAAAAATTCAAATTCACATTAATTCACGTTTATCCAAAATAATCCGCGTAAATTCATGTTAATTCACGTTAATTCAAGGCAATTCACGTTAATTCAAATTAATTCACGTTAATTCAAATTAATTTACGTTAATTTTAATTAATTCACGTTAATTCAAATTAATTCAGAGAGGTGTGCACCAAAAATTCAAAGTCGTTTCCCTCTAGACATAGAGCCTCTTTTGTGCACAATCCCGCGCACAGAACGCACACCAACAAAAGTAAAAAAACACAGGTCACAGTAAGTTCAAACAATATCCAAATTGAGATAGCCCGTCCAAGGAAGCGCAATTACTGACGAAGCACTCACAAAAACTTAAGGCTTTTTCAAATTCACATTTTTTTTGGCACTTGCAAATTAAATCTTCCAACGACTTATTCGACGAGTAATTAAAAAAATTTTAATCAACGTAACACTCACAAACTGGACAACAACGTCATTATTTCGTTTCTTATAAATCTTACCAACGGCGTATTTAATTGATTATGTCTTCTAATCGACTTTAAACAACAAGCGTATAAAACTTCACGTAAAAATGACACGTACGCTTGCAATACGACCCGAACAGCCAACTCCGTCGCCAATTGATACCCATATCCGTACGCTTATCATGCAGGTGTCATTTTATCAGGCCAATTAATTTGTCCAGTAACGGCTTTTACACATCAGTATATCGAGATAAAACTTCTGTCTTACGTCGATTTAAAATTAAATGTTTCCTTATTTATGGGTTTCTCGAATTTCTGACTCATTCAGTACAATTAACAACCCTAAACACAAATCCTAAATTTCCAATGTAACAAACTAACATTACAATGACCATTAAATAACATCCTCAAATTCTGTGTCCACTTGACAGAGCTTCCCTCAGGTTCAAAACAAATAAATTAAAACATTGTACAGGATGTCTCGCCTGCAACTTCTAATGCTAAAACTAAATTACGTTTACAGCACGTAAATTTGCAAGTACAAGGTGACTCGCTCCCATCGTCGGCATTATTTCAATCTACAGAAACGAGAGCACCAGATGCAGTATATAACAGTATTTATTACTATATTCGCAATGTTAGTACATTTATAATTGTATTTAACATAATTATGATTATGTTATTATTAGGTACTTGAACTACTGGTCGCTAGTCTAATGAGTAATAATGAAATTGACTCTATGAGGTCAGTAGTAACTACACAACCCGTGAGACGTACAGTTAATAAGGTCATTCCTTCAACCCAATAATTGAATCTTTTGTGTACCTTAAGTTATCATAGACGAATTTTCTTCTTTTACGGATAGATCCTTTCTGCTGATATCAAATTGCAACATTACTACTAAATAATTTACAATGGTGGCGAACATCTGTAAAGTAAAGGAATGTTTCACGTTCTTCGTAATAATTGGTCTTGGAAGATTTGTGTTGGAAATACAAAATAAGTTAACAAAAACCACCATTCTGAATAACATTCGACCAAAAAATCAAATAATAAGACCTTATATGCATTAAGTGTCCCTCCCTACTACCTAACATTATTTTTTTAAACCGATAACATACTCTAGGGTCCATCTGTGACAGATTCCTTTAACCTAACTTATAAGCTTTTCCAACACAAACACAATTGGACGGAATGGAATATGTACGAGGTCGTTTAATTAGTCTGTTGTTAGAAATAAATAACAATGACACATAGTCATAGTGCTACTCGTGATGACTCCTTTCCATCGAACCTTAACACTTCGATCTCTCATTACCAAATCACGGAGTTTGTCGATAATTCCTGTAGTTTTTCAGGTTTTACACCCGCTAACCCTCTTGAAAACTGTTTCATACGAAAATGTTAAATTACCCAACGTAAAGGATGTCTGTTCTTAAGTCTCCTCCTTCTTCAAATAGAAAAAATTCCCCAAATTTGGATTTAATCCATTTATAACTAGAACTCCTTAAAGGACTGCCAATACAAAACAAATGATCCTACGTGTTTGGTCACCACTAAACAGCGCTCTGATCATTAGAAAATTACGAAACAGTATTCTTATCAAACGACCCTTGTAGATACGTACTGAGTATAGCAATGCAAAATCTAACCGAAACAGTCGACAAGCAGACAATTCCAGTTTGTTATGAATTAAACGCATGACCATTCCTTTAATCTAAAATTTAATTTAAAAAAATTAAACCTCAAGAACATCCGTGGAAAACTTACCATTTCCACGTATTTCACAGTATTTGGACTGTGCTTCAAGCCACATATAATTGCTACGGTAGAATTTGCCTAAAATATATTGTTTACTAAATTTGTTGGTACACTACATACATCGTCAACTATTGGTTCTACAAAAACGGGGGACATGAATGTGTAATATGGTGGTCGGAAAACTAAAAAACGGAGCAGTTGGTGATTTGGTCCACGAGGTGCGTGGCCGGAATAAGTAAATAAGAGTAACAAGAGGCTTACCGTTTTACATAAGGTGGTTGCACAAGAGATGATGAAATAAAATTCCAATATATGGGGCACCAAAATTAAGAATGTAGTGTAGACGTACTTTGAAAATCTT